CTGCCTCTGCCTCTGCCTCTGCCTCTGTCTCTGTCTCTGCCTCTGCCTCTGCCTCTGTCCTCTGTCTCTGTCTCTGTCTCTGTCTCTGCCTCTGCCTCTGTCTCTGTCTCTGTCTCTGCCTCTGTCTCTGCTCTCTGTCTCTGCTGTCTCTGTCTCTGCCTCTGCCTCTGTCTCTGTCTCTGTCTCTGTCTCTGTCTCTGCCTCTGCCTCTGTCTCTGTCTCTGTCTCTGCTCTGTCTCTGTCTCTGCCTCTGTCTCTGCTCGTGCCTCTGCCTCTGTCTCTGTCTCTGTCTCTGTCTCTGCCTCTGCCTCTGTCTCTGCCTCTGCCTCTGCATGTGCCTCTGCCTCTGTCTCTGTCTCTGTCTCTGCCTCTGCCTCTGTCTCTGTCTCTGTCTCTGCCTCTGTCTCTGTCTCTGTCTCTGCCTCTGCCTCTGCCTCTGCCTCTGTCTCTGTCTCTGTCGCTGCCTCTGCCTCTGCTCTGTCTCTGTCTCTGTCTCTGTCTCTGTCTCTGTCTCTGCCTCTGCCTCTGTCTCTGTCTCTGTCTCTGCCTCTGCCTCTGTCTCTGCCTCTGTCTCTGTCTCTGTCTCTGCCTCTGCCTCTGTCTCTGTCTCTGTCTCTGTCTCTGCCTCTGCCTCTGCCTGTGCCTCTGTCTGTGTCTCTGCCTCTGCCTCTGCCTCTGCCTCTGTCTCTGTCTCTGTCTCTGTCTCTGTCTCTGCCTGCTCTGCCTCTGCATGTGCCTCTGTCTGTGTCTCTGCCTCTGCCTCTGTCTCTGTCTCTGTCTCTGTCTCTGTCTCTGCCTCTGCCTCTGCCTCTGTCTCTGTCTCTGTCTCTGTCTCTGTCTCTCTGTCTCTGTCTCTGCTCTGTCGCTGCCTCTGTCTCTGCCTCTGCCTCTGTCTCTGTCTCTGTCTCTGTCTCTGTCGCTGCCTCTGCCTCTGTCTCTGTCTCTGCTCTGTCTCTGCTCTGCCTCTGCCTCTGTCTCTGTCTCTGTCTCTGTCTCTGACTCTGCCTCTGCCTCTGTCTCTGTCTCTGTCTCTGACTCTGTCTCTGCCTCTGCCTCTGCCTCTGCCTCTGCCTCTGCCTCTGTCTCTGTCTCTGTCTCTGACTCTGTCGCTGCCTCTGCCTCTGCCTCTGTCTCTGTCTCTGTCTCTGCCTCTGTCTCTGTCTCTGCCTCTGCCTCTGCCTCTGCCTCTGCCTCTGTCTCTGTCTCTGCCTCTCTCTCTGTCTCTGCCTCTGCCTCTGCCTCTGCCTCTGTCTCTGTCTCTGTCTCTGTCTCTGTCTCTGCCTCTGCCTCTGCATGTGCCTCTGCCTCTGTCTCTGCCTCTGCCTCTCTGTCTCTGTCTCTGTCTCTGCCTTGTCTCTGTCTCTGTCTCTGTCTCTGTCTCTGTCTCTGACTCTGACTCTGTCGCTGCCTCTGTCTCTGCCTCTGTCTCTGTCTCTGTCTCTGTCTCTGTCTCTTTCTCTGCCTCTGCCTCTGTCTCTGTCTCTGTCTCTGCCTCTGCCTCTGCATGTGCCTCTGCCTCTGTCTCTGTCTGTGTCTCTGCCTCTGCTCTGTCTCTGTCTCTGTCTCTGCCTCTGTCTCTGTCTCTGTCTCTGTCTCTGCCTCTGCCTCTGTCTCTGCCTCTGTCTCTGTCTCTGCCTCTGCCTCTGCCTCTGTCTCTGCTCTGTCTCTGTCTCTGCCTCTGCCTCTGCCTCTGCCTCTGTCTCTGTCTCTGTCTCTGTCTCTGTCTCTGCCTCTGCCTCTGCCTCTGCCTCTGTCTCTGTCTCTGCCTCTGCCTCTGTCTCTGTCTCTGTCTCTGTCTCTGTCTCTGTCTCTGTCTCTGTCTCTGTCTCTGTCTCTGCTCTGCTCTGTCTCTGCCTCTGCTCTGCTCTGTCTCTGTCTCTGTCTCTGTCTCTGTCTCTGACTCTGTCTCTGTCTGCCTCTGCCTCTGTCTCTGTCTCTGACTCTGTCTCTGCCTCTGCCTCTGCCTCTGTCTCTGTCTCTGTCTCTGTCTCTGACTCTGCCTCTGCCTCTGCCTCTGCCTCTGTCTCTGTCTCTGTCTCTCTGACTCTGTCGCTGCCTCTGCCTCTGCCTCTGTCTCTGTCTCTGTCTCTGTCTCTGTCTCTGCCTCTGTCTCTGTCTCTGTCTCTGCCTCTGCCTCTGTCTCTGCCTCTGTCTCTGTCTCTGCCTCTGCCTCTGCCTCTGTCTCTGTCTCTGCCTCTCTCTCTGCCTCTGTCTCTGTCTCTGTCTCTGCCTCTGTCTCTGTCTCTGTCTCTGTCTCTGTCTCTGTCTCTGCCTCTGCCTCTGTCTCTGTCTCTGTCTCTGTCTCTGTCTCTGTCTCTGCCTCTGTCTCTGTCTCTGTCTCTGCCTCTGTCTCTGCCTCTGCCTCTGTCTCTGTCTCTGTCTCTGCCTCTGCCTCTGTCTCTGCCTCTGCCTCTGCCTCTGTCTCTGTCTCTGTCTCTGTCTCTGCCTCTGCCTCTGCCTCTGCCTCTGTCTCTGTCTCTGTCTCTGACTCTGTCTCTGCCTCTGCCTCTGTCTCTGCCTCTGTCTCTGTCTCTGTCTCTGCCTCTGCCTCTGCCTCTGTCTCTGCCTCTGCCTCTGTCTCTGCCTCTGCCTCTGTCTCTGTCTCTGTCTCTGCCTCTGTCCTCTGCCTCTGCCTCTGTCTCTGTCTCTGCCTCTGTCTCTGTCCTCTGCCTCTGTCTCTGTCTCTGCCTCTGCCTCTGTCTCTGTCTCTGCCTCTGTCTCTGTCTCTGTCTCTGCCTCTGCCTCTGCCTCTGCCTCTGCCTCTGCCTCTGTCTCTGCCTCTGCCTCTGCCTCTGCCTCTGCCTCTGCCTCTGTCTCTGTCTCTGTCTCTGCCTCTGCCTCTGCCTCTGCCTCTGTCTCTGCCTCTGCCTCTGCCTCTGTCTCTGTCTCTGTCTCTGTCTCTGCCTCTGTCTCTGCCTCTGCCTCTGCCTCTGTCTCTGTCTCTGTCTCTGCCTCTGCCTCTGCCTCTGTCTCTGTCTCTGTCTCTGCCTCTGCCTCTGTCTCTGTCTCTGTCTCTGTCTCTGCCTCTGCCTCTGCCTCTGCCTCTGTCTCTGTCTCTGTCTCTGCCTCTGCCTCTGCATGTGCCTCTGCCTCTGTCTCTGTCTGTGTCTCTGCCTCTGCCTCTGTCTCTGTCTCTGTCTCTGCCTCTGTCTCTGTCTCTGTCTCTGTCTCTGCCTCTGCCTCTGCCTCTGCCTCTGCCTCTGTCTCTGCCTCTGCCTCTGTCTCTGTCGCTGCCTCTGCCTCTGCCTCTGTCTCTGTCTCTGTCTCTGTCTCTGACTCTGTCGCTGCCTCTGCCTCTGCCTCTGTCGCTCCTCTGCCTCTGCCTCTGCCTCTGTCTCTGTCTCTGTCTCTGCCTCTGCCTCTGCCTCTGTCTCTGTCTCTGCCTCTGCCTCTGTCTCTGCCTCTGCCTCTGCCTCTGCCTCTGCCTCTGCCTCTGTCTCTGTCTCTGTCTCTGCCTCTGCCTCTGCCTCTGCCTCTGTCTCTGCCTCTGTCTCTGCCTCTGTCTCTGTCTCTGTCTCTGTCTCTGTCTCTGCCTCTGCCTCTGCCTCTGTCTCTGTCTCTGTCTCTGCCTCTGCCTCTGTCTCTGTCTCTGTCTCTGTCTCTGCCTCTGCCTCTGTCTCTGCCTCTGCCTCTGCCTCTGCCTCTGTCTCTGTCTCTGTCTCTGTCTCTGCCTCTGCCTCTGCATGTGCCTCTGCCTCTGCCTCTGCCTCTGCCTCTGCCTCTGTCTCTGTCTCTGTCTCTGTCTCTGCCTCTGCCTCTGCATGTGCCTCTGCCTCTGTCTCTGCCTCTGCCTCTGCCTCTGTCTCTGCCTCTGCCTCTGCCTCTGTCTCTGTCTCTGCCTCTGCCTCTGCCTCTGTCTCTGCCTCTGTCTCTGCCTCTGCCTCTGCCTCTGTCTCTGTCTCTGTCTCTGCCTCTGCCTCTGTCTCTGTCTCTGTCTCTGTCTCTGCCTCTGTCTCTGTCTCTGTCTCTGCCTCTCTGTCTCCTGTCTCCTGTCTCTGCATGTTTCAGGCTTAGACGGCTTTTAAAATGATACAAAAGTGTAGAGAAGCTCGAGCTGCACAATGACCTGTCATGGTTTGGGTCTGTCAGACTGACTGCCTCCTCTGACACTGGCAGAGTGTCATTTTCATCCCCTTTATTATACAAGTTCTGGGTTGGGGTCTACGGGGGGTCTACAGGAAGATGGTTGCAAGTCTACACTGCAAAATGTGATAAAATATTAGGTAGTAATTTCTTAAATCAATAGTTTTTATCTTAATTTGAGAACATGTTGAGGCTGTGTTATCGCTGACCGAGCAGCAGCCATCTTCCTGTGGACCCACCACCTGCCGGAGCCCCCCCGACCAATGGAATGGACTCACAAAGGGTTAGAAAATGAATGAATGAATGAGTAGATTCTGACTGTCTTATTTCTCTTTTCCAATGAGACAAAGCCATTTAGTCTTATTTCCAGAACTATTGCTTTATTTGCTCATTTAGTCTGATTTCAAGAACTGTTTCTCTTTTTCCTCATTCCAAGGGAGACATTTCTGTATCTTTTTAAAACAAGATCATTCTGCTCTGTTCCATTGGAGAATCGTATTTTAAGGCAAGTGATGAAAAATAAGTTAAAAATCGTTTAATTTGAGCACATTTTAACTGCCTTAAAACAAGATTTGCCAAAAGGACACGGCAGAATGATCTTGTTTTAAAAAGATACAATAAATGTCTGTTGTAAATAGAGAAACAGTTCTTGAAATCAGACTAACTGACTTTGTCCTATTGGCAATATTTGTTTTAAGACAGTCGGAATGTGCTCAAAATCCAAAAACCCCTTGATTCACGCAATTAGTACCTCATATTTATCACTTTTTTCCATGTAGGTTCTTTACACATTTGTCTTTATTATAAGAACCTTCAAAGCCTTTAGGTCTAGACTTGTTGGACTTTCTGCTTCCATCATAACGACACTGTTCTTTCGCTTGTTGCTCATTCTCTGTCGTTGTCGGCTGATCCTGCAGGAGGTGCTGGAGTTGGCCTTCTCCGTCCTCTATGACCCCGACGAGACGCTCAACTTTGTAGCACCAAATAAGTACGAGGTAAATGACACCGTGTGAAGCGGCGAGGACGAGGATCTCTCAGGTCTCTCCGTGACGGAAGGATAGAGTGTGAGACTGACAGATACAGATTTTATTTTACTTTTCAAGTTTAAAGTTGTGCTATACTTAATATTTACTTAAATTCAAGAAGAAAAAAATGTGAGAAACCTCAAGCCCAGTGGGAGAGGGAGCTGCTCCCATGGATAAACAAGCTTCAGACCCAGGACTGAGGCTGTAGACCCAGGACTGAGGCTGTAGACCCAGGACTGAGGCTTTAGACCCAGGACTGAGGCTGTAGACCAAGGACTGAGGCTGGTCTGAGGCTGTAGACCCAGGACTGAGGCTGTAGATCCATGACTGAGGCTGGTCTGAGGCTGTAGACCCATGACTGAGGTTGTAGATCCATGACTGAGGCTGTAGACCCAGGACTGAGGCTGTAGACCCAGGACTGAGGCTGTAGACCCAGGACTGAGGCTGGTCTGAGGCTGTAGACCCATGACTGAGGCTGTAGATCCAGGACTGAGGCTGTAGACCCAGGACTGAGACTGTAGATCCTAAATGTATTTGTGTGTGTGTGTGTGTGTGTGTGTGTGTGTGTGTTTGTTTGTATGTATGTGTTTGTGTCTAGTACTGCATCTGGACTGACGGCCTGTGTGCGCTGCTGGGGAGGGAGATGGGCAGTGACCTGACGCGCTCGGACCTGGACACTCTGATCAGTATGGAGATGAAGCTCCGCCTCCTGGACCTGGAGAACATCGCCATCCCAGAAGCCCCGCCCCCTGTACCCAAAGAACCCAGCTCCTACAACTTCAACTACAACTACAGCTGAAAAAAGCAGCGGTACAGACGGAAACTCCACCGACAGCTCAAACACACCGAGAGATGGGAACACATGATATTTGTTTGTGTCGGGAATGTACCACTTATCATAAGCGCGGGGGGGTGAGAGCCGAGGACATGGAAAGAGCAGTCTTTAAAGGTCCCATATTTCACTCTTCTTCATCCTTCTCTGTCCTTTCTCAGCACTGGATATAATTTCACAAGTTTTGGGTGTCGTTCACCAACATTTTTGCATAAAGTGATGAAAGACAACACAAAAATTGCACAAATTTGGCAAAATGTATCTTAATTTGAGCACATTCTGACTGAGCGTGTAAACAGGATTCTCCAGTGGGACAAAGCAAAATTATCTTGTTTTAAAAAGATACAGAAATGTCTCACTTGGAATCAGAAAAATAAAGCAACAGTTTTTGAAATAGAATTAAATGTCTTTGTCCCATTGGAGTTTTTTTTTTTACACAGTCAGATTAAGATAAAAAAAAAACTCGATTGGGGCATTTATTACCTCATATTTTATCATTTTTTGCAGTGTACAATCAAGCCCCGGCGATCCAAGATGGCGCCGTATTCAAATGAATGGTTGTGCTCAGTGGCGCTTTGTGCCGGCATGGGGGCTGAAAGATTAGCGGAAGTCGTCTGGAACTCGCAAAGATCTATGGGAAACTCTCCTGTATTTGGGCATCGTCTGGTCCTCCCGGTTCTGCGCAGTGGATGATCTCCCATGATGCTTTGCGCCAAACACGCGTGTGTGGGTCTCACACCGGGTCTCACGCACGTGCACAGAGGGGCTCGGCCGCGCTCTGACCAATCAGAGCAGTTCATCAGAGCGGGAGTTAGAGCGAGAGCCAGAGGAGCAGAGTTTGTGGCACTAAAGTGTGGATTTAAACAAAACCGAAGGATTTAAGAAGAAAAAAAGTTCAGGATGACAAGGGACACTAAAATCCCCACAAAATCCGATCTTTATTAAAGCTGTAGGTTCTCTGTCAAGTTCTCTGTCAGGTTCTCTGTCAGGTTCTCTGTCAGGTTCTCTGTAGGTTCTCTGTAAAGTTCTCTGTCAGGTTCTCTGTCAGGTTCTCTGTCAGGTTCTCTGTCAGGTTCTCTGTCAGGTTCTCTGTCAGCTGAGGTCGAGCTGTTTTAATTTACATTGAGTTCTATGGGGAAAATTTCTGAGTAGCCCATGTGAATTTAGTCTGGTTCAGTCTGGTTCAGTCTGGTTCAGTCTGCAGTACCGCGAGAATCCCCCGAGCACATGAGTCCTTCAGCTCCAAGCTAGTAACACCCTATCCAGTTATTATAATAGATCCATGTGTACAATCTACACTCTTCCGCCGCTTTTATCGTGGGACTAACGGCAGGTTTCATGATCAGGTTTTGAGTAAATTCAGATTGGTTGCAGGTTTTCGGAGGCAGATCCTCGTGAATGATGTCGAGCCCCATTCGCCTCAGTCTCCGTCTTTGGTCCAAATCATGTCGTCACATATTTACTCAAAAAAACACATTTTCTCCAAGTCACATGATGCTAATACTTAATGCTAACACTTGTAGTCGCTGACGTTAGCAGTAAAGCAGCAGAGCTCGAGGTGAAGGCAGCACAGACTGTGGGAGACTCGGGACACAGGCTGCATGCGCTGATTGGCTGTTTTGATTTCTCCCTCCTGTCAATCACCCTCTGGAGGCGGGGCTTCTCACGTCACAAAATTAACCGAGGCGTTTCTGAGACTCTTGAGAATGAAAGAGAAAGATGGCTCTAACTAAAGCTTGAGAGATTCTATGAAAATACTCTGGGCTTTAGTTTGAGGCCAAATATTATTATAAAAAGTCAACAAGTGTAACATGGGACCTTTAATACTTAACTCCACGACACCATGTTGTTTGGTTTGTGTTGCATTTTCCACGGTGGAGAAATGTCAGTGTTGCATCCGCAGTTACAGCACAAGTGAATATGAAGTATGGCACAACTCTATACTTTAAAAAATGAACAAAAATCTGTAATACTAAGCATAAAAGGTAAACACACAGGAGGTATAAAGTTGTGTGCGGCTTGCATTGATCTCTACACTGCAAAAAATGATAACATGATGTAATAAATGCTTGAATGGAGTGTTTTTAATCTTAATCTGACACATTCTGACTGTGTTTAAACCAGATTCTCCAACGGGACAAAACCATTTAGTCTGATTTCAAGAACCGTTTCTTTATTTTCTCATTCCAAACGGAGACATTTCTGTATCTTTAAAAAACAAGATCATTTTGCTTTGTCCCGTTGGAGAATATTGTTTTAGGCTCAGTCAGAATTCGTTAAAATTAAGATAAATGTTTGCCAAATTTGAGAATATTTTGACGCGTTTGTCATCACTTTTTGCAGTGTATAGTAATAAACCACAGCAGGTGAATGTCCTGATGGAGCATTACAGCTGGATCCATCTATTTTAAAACTTTATAATGAAGTACATAATGAATACTTTTTTAACCAAACACCCACAATATATAATCCATGATGTTGAGATCTGACAAAGTTAAATAATTAGAATGATTTGAGTCCAGTTAAATGTATTTTATGCTATTTTAGTTTGTGTTGAGTGTCCAGCCCTCGGTCTGTGACTTTTGAAACGATTTCTCCTTTTCACACCGTGGTTTAGAACTAATTTATATTATTTACAAAGATCAAACCATAGGTACTCTGTTGAGCTAGCGGGTTAGCATAGCATCATCCATCCAGTCTCCAGATGAGTCTTATCTCAAACAACATAACAAAATCATCTGTTATCATATATAATACTAAAATAGAGATCCCAACACTGTTCTGGCTCTGCACTGCAAAAAAATGATTAAATATGAAAGTTGCTGGTTTTTATTATGATTTGAGCACATTTTGAGTGTGTTAAAACAGGATTCTCCAACAGGACAAATGGAAGAATCCTGTCAGAAATCTCAGTCAGAATATTAAGAAACTTTTTGCCAAATTTGAGCAATTTTTTGACTTATTTTTCATCACTTTTTGCAGACTATTTTTTGTCTTGGGAAATCTTAAAACCAAATCAGTGCTGACATAAAAACTCCACATATATACTACTACTACTACTACTACTACTACTACTACTTGTACTTATACATGAGTTACAAATAGTGACAGAAAAATCCAGATCTGGACTTTAGAATCTTTTCGGCTGCGACACTGTTTCAGAAGAAAGAAAGAGGATTATATTAAGTGTCTGTCCTGAGCCACAGAAACATATTTTTGTAACCAGTGAAGAGTTGTTATCATGCATTAACATATATTATTATTATTGTTTTATCACATATAAAACAGAGACATTGTGAAGGCGTTCTGCAGCTGATGAAGACGTGGGTGTTATTGTGATCTCAAGTTAACGGTGCTTTCTGCAAATATTAATTTAAAGCATTTTTTTCTGATGTTTTAAAAGTGTTCGGATCATTTTCTACGCCATCGGACCGAGAGGCGCTGCAGGGAAGCTGTACACTGCAAAAAGAGATGAAAAATATGTCAGAGATTGCTCAAATTTGGCAAAATGTGTCTTAATTTGAGCACATTCTGACTGAGCCTTAAACAAGATTCACCAATGGGACAAAGCAGAATACAATACACACAATTTATTCTTGTATCGAGCTAAATCACAACAGTATCATCGCAGAGACTTAAAATCACCAACACAGATCAGAGAATCAACAGTTAAGACACATAAAGGATATAGAACACATGTTGATAAATGTCATACATGTAGAATGTTAAAGTGTCCTGGATCATCACAGTCCTTTTATGTTGGACACTAACTGCCCAACAGACTCCTGCAGATCCAGGACTCAGACTGTCGAACAAGGACTGAGGCTGCAGATCCAGGGACTGAGGCTGCAGATCCAGGACTCGGACTGTAGAACAAGGACTGAGGCTGTAGATCCAGGACTCAGACTGTAGAACGAGGACTGAGGCTGCAGATCCAGGACTCAGACTGTAGAACGAGGACTGAGGCTGCAGATCCAGGACTCAGACTGTAGAACGAGGACTGAGGCTGTAGATCCAGGACTCAGACTGTAGAACGAGGACTGAGGCTGCAGATCCAGGACTCAGACTGTAGAACGAGGACTGAGGCTGTAGATCCAGGACTCAGACTGTAGAACGAGGACTGAGGCTGTAGATCCAGGACTCAGACTGTAGAACGAGGACTGAGGCTGTAGATCCAGGACTCAGACTGTAGAACGAGGACTGAGGCTGTAGATCCAGGACTCAGACTGTAGAACGAGGACTGAGGCTGTAGATCCAGGACCTAAGAGCTACAGGACGTGGACCAGTGGCCGTTGAACGTGGACAGGTCCGGTGCAGGACTGAAGCACTCCCAGGCGGGTCGGGCGGGGCAGTCTGCAGGTGTAGATGGAGGAGGCCAGGCTCAGAGATCCCGTCATCGTACCATGAAACAGACAATGGGACAACGGGTGAATAGCAATGAACAGACTACAGTCAAAATCCTAATAATGCAAAACAGATAAAGTAGGAAGGAGGAGAGGATAGTGCTGTTACCATACTTCTCCAGCAGGGGGCTCCCTATGCAGCTTGACTGACAGTCTGAGGAGTTTAGCCTTCCCTGAGTCTTAACTTCCTAGCCATATGCTAAACTAAAGAGGACTATTTTAGCCTAAACTAGAACGTAGGGTTGAAGATGAAAATGATCTTGTTTTAAAAAGAAGAAATACCTCCCTTTAATCTTGTTTAAACACAGTCAGAATGTGTCAGATGAAGTTAAAAACCACTGGACTGAAGCGACTCTTGACCTGATATTGGATCATTTTTTGCAGTGCGGTCTCTGCTCTCTGTGGGATGTACTAACATGACTTGAATCTATCGCTCTTTTCATGAGATATTTATTGTTTACATCAGTGAAGGAGGAGAAGTAACGTAGAAGTGAATAGTATTTTATGTATATACAGTCTTGTGATGCCTTATTGTACCGTGTGTGTGAATAAATGCAGAGTCTA